CATATCACCGTCAACCATATCACCGTCAACCATATCACCGTCAACCATATCACCGTCAACCATACCAAGACCTCTCCTCCGTCAGTTCAACCTTCAGATCCTGCTGGTATCGTTACCACCTCCTCCGTCCCCCTTCATAGTTTCCTCACCTCAGGTCTTGGGTGTTTACATAACATTCCTACTGTGACCTCTGCTTCCTGGTCTTCTCCTGAGTGATGAAGATGACCTGTAAGACTCCTCTCACTCCTCTCACATATATCAAGAGACGATCACTACAATAACCTAATCTAACCCACCCTAACCTAACCATGACCTCATCTGTCAGTTTGGGATGAAGTTACTACACCATCCTCGTTCACCGTCTCCTGCTACCACCTGAGATCCCTCGTCTATGAATTACTATAAGACACTATAACCTCACCCAGGCCATACGACCACCTACTGATCGCTATAAGAACACACACACACACACACACACACACACATGACCAAGGTGCGTGTGTTCATTTGATCAATAATTGCTGAACTGTGGTGAAAGACCCTACCTACTAACACCCCTCCCCCTCCCCTGACCAACATAGATAGTGGGGTCCGGTATCTTAATATGGGTGTACTCTCTCTCTCTCTCTCTCTCTCTTCTTCTTTTCCACATTTTTATTCGTTCGCTATCCTTCTCCCCTTCCTTTACCTCTCCTGCTTATATTAATCCATTCATCCCTTTCTCTTTCATTAGTTATCGTTCAATGTGTCAGTAGTTATCGTTCAATGTGTCAGCTGAAGATTAAACACCCTTATCCTAACCTAAATCTAACCAATCCTACCCTACCCAACCAACCCTAACCTAACCAATCCTACCCTACCCAACCAACCCTAACCTAACCAATCCTACCCTACCCAACCAACCCTAACCTAACCAATCCTACCCTACCCAACCAACCCTAACCTAACCAATCCTACCCTACCCAACCAACCCTAACCTAACCAATCCTACCCTACCCAACCAACCCTAACCTAACCAATCCTACCCTACCCAACCAACCCTAACCTAACCACACTGCCAGACAGACGTACAAACAATAAATAAATCACCTGTGCCTATAAATTATATATCCCTCTAACCTTAACGTTAAAACTAATTAATCACCTGTGTTATGTTTGCTAAATTAACAGGTAATGTTAATCTCACGTCGTAGTCACTGATGTTAATTTTTTTTAATTATACACACCTGGGGGTAATATTTCCCGGGTTTTTCATTGGTTAGCGTGTTAGCCAATCATAAGCCTTCGTTTGATTTGGTACGTATTGCTTGTCTGTGTAGTGTGTGTGGGGGGTGGGGGGGGGGGTGGGGTGTAGATTACCTAACCTAACTATAACAATTTTAAAGGAACTAAAATTCACTTAATAAACAGCGCTACAAAAATCAACATATAAAGATAAAGTCTCAATAAAATACAAGATTAAAACAAAATTAGATCTTTAAAAAGTGAAAATTTAACGAAGAAATATGAATAATTACTAACTGGAGGTGTATCATGCAGACTTTGTTCTTTTTGTCATCACCACACCCCTACCCCCGCCTCCCTCGACCGCCTCCTGGCTGACACTGAATAAGATAATTGTTACCCTCCACATATAAACCTTCTACTGATTATCGGGAAAAGTGGCCATGTTGGTAACCCGAATTCACCCAATGGCTGTCAGGGTTGTCATTTTCCCCTGATGAATTTTCACACGCAATTTTGTCATCTGTTTATACGAGAAAATAATCACGAGTCAGGGGGACTTCTTGAGGCAAATAGAAATTAATTTATATGTTTTATAAATTGATGAGGGTAATTTTTTTAGAGTGTGAGTTCTGATAGTTGGTTAAAGAAAGGGATGAGTTGTTGCTTATTTATTGTTTGCTTTTGTTGTTGTTGTTCTATAAATTTGTAAACAAAGCACTGAACTTGTTTGAATGTGTTGGTATGGAAGCGACTTCGGCTTATCAAAATATAGTTATAATGTACAGAACCATATTATTATTATTACGTCATTGCTTTAAATATTACCAACGTTTAAAAATAACTCCCACGAATAAGCAGCTTAAACACAGTGCATTAAATAGTTATTAAATTCACAGGGACTTCATGCCAGGGACCCATAACCCACCGAATTTATCTCATCCTTCAGACCCTGACGCCCTCACCCAGCCTCAATATTGCTAAATGGCGTTTATTGTTTACTAAGAAGGCGAACTGTGACGGATTTGGGGTTTTATGAGCGATTTTGGTGAAATGTGACAGATTTTGGTGATATAGGTAATTCCAGGAGGGGGGGGGGGAGGGGAGGAGGAAAGAGAGAGGGAGAAAGGATTTGGGGAGGGAGAGAGGAGAGAAAGGAGGGAAGGAGAAAAAGAAGGAGGGAGGGGGAGAAGGAAGAAGGGAGAAGGAAGAGGGAGAAGGAAGAAGGAAGAGGGAGAAGGGAGCCAATAATACCACACATCACAATAATCATCACTAAACTATAAGCAAAATTAGATCAATAACCTTCACCAACACAAACAATGCCCCCAAGACCTCCTCAACCCTAAGACACTTGAGTAAGGCAAAGGATAACCTCACCTAACCTCTCAAGTATTAATAAAGTACGTCCTTGTAGATCGTATAGTTATCTTGAGTAACCGTCACATAAACGATAACTACTCACACAACGAACGATCACTAACTCTCGTGTTTACAGTGGCACAGCGGAGGAGGTCTTCCCAGTAATGAATGAAAACAGGTTTCTTATATGCGTGGCTGTGCGTGTGTTGCTATCATATACTGCACCTTAAGAACGTTGCATAAAATTCAATGAAAGTTTTGTTGTTGTTTTTTTTAAATAATCTTGAAGATAATAATCAAAGACGAGGTGACACTGATGTTTGGTGATAATCCTTAGCCATGGTGATAATCCTTCCTATGGTGATAATCCTACTCATGGTTATAATCCTACTCATGGTTATAATCCTCCCACGGTTAAAATCACAGTCGGGGGCAAAATACCACAGATATAACTCTGGTATGAATAGAACCATGTATTTAAACCAATAATATCTCAGAATTAATGAACCGATTTCAGTTAAAAGTTTGCATGTCAGTTGATCAAAGCCTCAGAATGACATGTCTAAGTTTTTTATAGTATTTAATTCAAGGTCAAGATCGAGGTCAAGGTCAATACGAAAGGTTAAAAAGACGTGTTAAGAATAGTAACGAATCCTCACCCCAGGCAATCAGGTGGTTCATGACGTCAGTATTGGAGGCAGCATTAATTTCTTAGTGGTTACTCTAGCGCTGCGTTACGGAGACAGCCAGGATCAGCAACCAAGACCAAGAGTGACCGCGTAACATTACCACAACACTAACTATAAAACTAAAGCTGGACAAAATGATCACCACCACTACCACTATCACCACCACCACCAGTATCCCCACCACAACTACCATCACCACAACCACCACCATTACTACCATCACCACAACCACCACCACCACAACCACCACCACCACAACCACTACCACCACTATCACCACCACCTGTATCCCCACTATCACCACCACCAGTATCCCCACTACCACTATCACCACCACCACTATCACCCCCACCACCACTACCTTCACCACTATCACCACTACCACCACAGATACAATAGGCTAATGGACTAAGAGACACATTGGCCAGTCTAAAACCTTATCATCTATTCCTTCACGCTAACAATACCAACACTAGCCTAATGGTCGCTATTTGTGGCTATTCTTCCCCTGCTCGCAACTAGGAGCAAGAGTATTGTTGTCGATCCTGTCTCTCTGTTAGGTTAGGTTAGGTTAGGTTTAGTTTAGATTAGGTTAAAAAAAAATTATAAAATAACCACAAACCAAAGAAAAAATCTCCCCCACCCCCGAAAACAAAAAACAAAACAAATGAATTACGAATAAGAGAACCAAAACAAAATAGAATAATAATGAAACCGTTTAGGAGACAGACAATATAGTGGTTCACTTGACCCTCGCGGTGTTTGGCGCCATTACTGCAACACGTCACGTGACACAACATCATTTCCCGCGCTTTATTTTTTATTTTTTTTTGTGAGTCGTCGCTCGCTAAGGAACTACTCTGTTGGTGGTATAGTTCCGCATGGCTGTCTTCTTTTGTTTTATTTATATTACTATTTTTTCGTGTTTAAGGATGAGACACGAGACGTAGAGAGTGACGCAGTGACCATGTCTTAGTAGGTAGACATACAGAGAGAGAGAGAGAGAGAGAGAGAGAGAGAGAGAGAGATACATTCATACCGGGAGAGAGAGCGATAGACAGACAGACAGGTAAACAGACAGGTACGTTCAATAAAATCATCGTATACATTGACCCAGCGTGTATATAGACTGTGCAGGTATACAAACAACGGTAAATAATCAAGGTCAAGACTAAGCCAGGTCAAGACTATGCCATCATACGCCTCTTTCCTTGAGTATGATGGCTTAACCACTTGAGTATGATGGCTTAACCACTTGAGTATGATGGATTAACCTTAAGTACAAAATCACCTTAATGTGTGTGTTTATAAAGGTGAACTAAATACGTGGTACCATTTCAACATTGTAAAGGTATAAATAATGTTAAAAGTAAGTTCTACATTATTTCTATACGTGTGAGTAATTAGGAAAAGATCAACAGGTCAGAAGCCGTAAACAGCAAAATATAAACGACAGAAACAAATTATAAAAGTCAGAAACAAAATATAAACGCCTGAAACAAAATATAAACGCCTGAAACAAAATATAAACGTAAGAAAAAAAATAAAAATGCCACAAACTGTCAAAACTAAAATATAAATGCTAGAAACAGTCAAAAAATATAAAGATATCATAAACGGTCAACAAAGATTCTAAACATATGATTCGAAGGCGTCAGAAGAGGTCAAGTAGGGTGAAGGGATTGCGTGTGTAAGGATGTCAACAAAAACAGGGTTGCCACTCACCTCCATAAAGAGCTCCGGGCCAGTGTTGTCATCGTTAACCCGGTAGTAGATGGGTCCGTCTGCCACTTTGACCTCTTCCCCTCCGCGACCTAAGCTGACCTCGTCCAGATCCTCGCCCTCTCCGTACCTCATCCTGACGCCAGCCTCATCAGGGAGTCACCCCATTGGATTCAAGGTCATTAGGGTGGGTCATCAGGTGTTCTGAATCATTTGGCCAGATCACCAGGTGTTCAAAGTCATCATATCAGGTCACTAGGTGTTCTAGGTAATCAAATCAGGTCACCGGGTGTTCTAGGTAATCAAGGGAGGTCAACAGGTGCGCTAGGTCACCAGGGGTCATTAAGTGTTGAGCCCACACACATTTACGACCAGTCCTTGACCTTATTTGACACTCGGGTTCAAGTTAGGTCACTCTGGAAACAAGTTTTTGAGAATACTTAAAATTGTGTGTTTTTTTTTACTGAGATATTGATTATATATTTCACATGATGTTACGAGAGAGAGAGAGAGAGAGAGAGAGAAGAAAAGTTATCCATATCACAAATAACAACACAATATCTCTCGCTTAACCGGACAGTACAAGAAAAAATGAACACATTACGAACAAAAGCGAATTTACCTCGGTTATCCGGACAGGGTAAGACAACATTGAAAAAATTAACCGATTTGCGGATAAACGGGGCACAACTCTCAATTAACCGGATAACGAAAAATTCATCAGAAATTAAGAATACAGTGAAAGCTTAATATAACGGACTTCGATTTAATGGACTACCCTCTTCCCTACAGTTCGTTATCAGTGAAACCTCCATATAACGAACTTCGATTTAACGGATTATCCTCTACCGTACAGTTCGTTATATGGAGGTTTTGCATATAACACTGTCATCTCCTTAACAACTCATCAGGACTTGGGGCCCATCAGAACTTGGGGCCCATCAGAACTTGGTACCCATCAGACTGTAAGAAGATCTGTGAAAGCTTTTTATATCACAGACGCCGGGTATTAGTAAGGGGCCCTGGGTTATAATCACAGCCCAGTAATGACAGTACGGGTGGGTGAGGCGAGAAGGGGAAGGTGTGTGAATCATAGCCGAATTGAGTCCGAATCATAGCTGAATCACAACAGTAGAATCAAACACCTAAATCATAGTTATAGATCTATGATAAGCTGGTAGTGGGGGGGGGGGAGGATAATATGAATCACAGCCGAATCATAGTTGAATCCTAACCGAATCCTAACCGAATCATAACCTTTTGGTGGGGTACAGATGATTCGACGTAGATTAAATAATTCATAGGATAACACTTAAGTCTTGAATCATAAATAAATTGCAACCGAATCATTGGGGGAATCAGAAAGTGGAGTGGCATTAGGTTAGGGTTAGACTGTTAATCCTGATTCACAATATAACCCTAAGTCATAAAATAATCCTAGCTCATAGTAGACAGTTGCTAGGATAATGCTAGGACTACTCACACCTAGAATACAACAGCTAGGATGCTAGTGTCAGTCACAGCAAGTATATAAAATCTTGGATTAGTCATAACTAGTATATAATTGCTAGGATGTCAGAATAATCCTAGCAGGGATAAGTTATTAGGGGTTAATCCTAGGTACCTAAACCAAACACGGGTAGTAAACATAAATAGAACGCCACAACACAACCCTTTATAAACACCACAACACAACCCTTTATAAACACCACAACACAACCCTTTATAAACACCACAACACAACCCTTTATAAACACCACAACACAACCCTTTATAAACACCACAACACAACCCTTTATAAACACCACAACACAACCCTTTATAAACACCACAACACAACCCTTTATCAACACCACAACACAACCCTTTATCAACACCACAACACAACCCTTTATAAACACCACAACACAACCCTTTATAAACACCACAACACAAACAGTAAATAATCCCAATCACCATCAAAACAAAAGCTACCAACACGACCTTGAAACACACACACACAAGGAAAGATAACTACATCATTAGACTCTAAGACCAGCATGACGTTTCAACAGTCGAGTATGATGACCACAGGTATGATATAATGTTCTATGGGTGAAGTATGATGATTATTTAACTAGAGTATGATGAGTGTTATAAGTGATGATGTGTGATATATAATGATCAAGTGGTGATGTAAGGAAGGGTTTTAACTTATTAACTAACTGACTGGGAGAGGGGTTGTCAACACACACACACACACACACACACACACATGATAATCTCTTTCTGCTCCCCCTAACACTCCATGCAACACAAAACACATTCAATATACGCCCCAACAACACTCCTTCTCTTCTTCCTCACTATGTATAACAAACAGGAGAGAAACACATCAACACGCAACACCTACGTCACAGGAGGTTATGTTGTCCAGCAAAACTTGTATTCCAACTCAAAAAATAATAAAATAAAATTCGTGTACTTTCAAAACACTGAGTTATTTGAGATGGCATGGAGGGGGGGGGGGAACTACACGAAGGCGCTGACGGAGTGTTTCGCGTTAGGAGGGTTTTATATAAGGTCTTGGCACTGTAGGAGAGGGGGGGGGGTAAGCGACGACCCCGAATGGCAGACGGACGGTGGCGCAGAAGAGCACAGAGAATACGTGCAGCCGTCAGGAGTGGTCCCGACACACTGGTGAGCTGATGAGGCGCGAGAGAGTCACACCCACACTCTGTACCCTCACCTCACCACACACACGGCCACCAGCGACCCGTGTGACCCTCCTACCTCTTCTCCATCCCCTTTTATGGCCACCAACGATAACAGGGAATGGTAGGGGAGGGTGGGACAGAGGTGAGGGGAAGGGGGAGGTGTATCAGAGGTGGGAGAGAGAGAGGGATGTGCGTGTGTGTGGGTGTGTGTGATGGAGATGGCTACCTTCGTGACGAGTCGGGAACCATTAGGGGGGCCATGTATTTAATTGCAATAGCATGTAACTGCCAGCACGGCTTTCATTTGTCCGAGGATTGCAATTTGGAGCCCGTGTAGGATTCGACAGTGTGTGTATGTGTGTATATGTGTGTGTATGTGTGTTTGTGGGTGCTACATGTATTTCCCAACGCCATTGCTACTACTCCTGCGGCTACAATTTGTTAGGTAAGGGAGTAAGATGCAGGAGGCGGGTGAGGGCCTCTGCGTGTGGCCGGGGTGGTGAGCGATGGCCGCCACAATGACTGCTGCCCTGATTTATAAGGTACATAGCCAGATTACGTCCTGGAGGAGGGGGAGGGGAGGGGGTGTGTTTATTTAGGGCTTGTCCTGGGAGTTCACGGCCCTACAGGAGGAGTTCACGGCCCGACAGGAGGAGCTCACGGCCCGACAGGAGGAGCTCACGGCCCGACAGGAGGAGCTCACGGTCCTACAGGAGGAGTTCACGGCCCTACAGGAGGAGCTAAGAACTCCATCAGATGTAAACATGACCACCAAGCCTCCTCCTTCTCCTCCTCCTCCTCAGTGTTTAAACGTGACAGAATTATTACTGTTGACCTTCCTGAGACTGTAATTGACTCTCTCTCTCTCTCTCTCTCACTTGGCCGCTTTCGGAGGCAGAGGAAAATGATGATAAAAATGAACTTGAAAAAAACAAAGAGAAGATTTTGAAATATATGGAATTAATGTTAAGGAAATTATTGATAAACGACAGAAATGGTGAGGAAATTTTGATAAAAATGGGCAAGAGAGAGAGAGAGAGAGAGAGAGAGAGAGAGAGAGAGAGGTTAAGTTAGCGTTGGGGTGGTTAATCTTCAGGTGAAATAAGCTGGTGTAGATAATCTATACAGGGCTCCAAAGTTATCACAATAAAGACAACCATTACACCCTGTATTTAATCAACCCAAGCGATGATTACTGAAGCTTAGTCTGTCCTATAAAAGCTTAGGGTAGAGAGGTTTTAAACTTAGGATGTCCTATTAAAGCTTAAAATGGAGAGGTCTTAAGCTTAGTCTGCCTTATCTCCTATGAAAGCGTAGGATGCAGAAGTCTTAAGAGTATGATGTACCGGTCTCAAGCTTAGTCTCCCATATTAAAGCCTATATGATGCACAGGTTCTCAAGCTTAGTCTGTGCCGGTAAAGAATTGGTTGCGTTAAACTGCAGGCGCTTCTCAGAGGGTCGATTATGGCGTCGTTCGCTATTCACAGGCAGTGTCCGGTCCATCTAGCATCAAAGGCGACGCGTGATGCGAGTCTTTTTGTTTGCCCAGGTAGGATCTTGAATAGCTGCCCCGTGTAAAATATGGCGTGGGTAGATGGGGGTGGGGTGTGGGGATTGATGAGGGTGTGGGGTTGATGAGGGTGTGGAGTGTGGGGTTTGATGAGGGGTGTGGGGGTTGATGAGGGTGTGGGGATTTGATGGAAGTGTGGGGTGTGGGGTTGATGGGAGTGTGGTAGGGGAAATAAGGAGTAGAAAAGAGAGGGGAGTAGACGGGATGTGAGGGGTAGGAAGACTTTCTTTTCCTCAGAGGTACAGGAAAATTGTAATAGTCCTCCGCTCCAGAACACACAAACATCACCCTATGTCTATTGGAACAAGGCCAGTATACGAGATAACCTAACCTAACCAAACCTAACGTAACCTAGCATAAACTACAAAGCCTTCATTACGTCAAGTATGATTTAAACCCTAATCTAACCTAACCAAACTTAACCTAATCTAACCTAACCCAAGCTGACCTATTTCTACACTCATAGGTCATCGTGGGGTAAGGTTGGGTAAGAGGTTGATGACTAAAACGAGTTGGTTGTGTCTCCTGGGGAACAAATGAGGTGACAAGCAGACAGGCAGACAGGCGCGGCAGGATTGGTTGGCGTGGTAGATAAGATTAGTGGCCGCATCTCCGTCACACTGGGTCGGGATTCGCGTGAGAGAAACATTGTTAATATAGACGAGGTGGGAGGTAGGGGGGGGAGGAGGAGGTAGGGGAGGAGGAGGAGGAGAAGGGTGACGGGGAGGAGGAGGAGGGGGCTGGGGATAGAGGCTGTAAAAAAGAGCGCCCGTGATAATGGAATTGGATCCTATTGTTTATGATGACATCAGCTGATCGTTCAAGGTCACTTTAGCCATAACAGAGAGAGACTGTGTACCCCCTATCTCTCTCTCTCTCTCTCTCTTAATCAGATTGCGCTAAAACCCTCCTCTCCTGACCCCCCCCCCCGTGGCCAGAGAGGAGGGGCTGAACTGGATTCCCTTTGCAGTAATACTTGAATGTATAGGAAAGGCCCCATCCTAAATGTACACGTTATACACATATTGATTACTCCAGTTATCAAGGTATATTACCAGTTACCCAATTTTCTCCCATATTAAATTTTCATCAAGTATATTATGATTGAAAGGATGAAATAGTGTCAAGAAATTGGTAATCGCTTGGGTCAGTAATGTCGTTTCTGCCTCCTTCCACGAGCCCTGCCAGCAGCTGATTGATATGTTTGGCGCCATACCATGTCACCTGTCGACGGTAAGTACAATAGAGTGAATTAAATCGTAGGAAAGTAACTAAATCGGGAAAGTAGGAAAGAAGTTGAATCGGGGAAGTAATATATGACGATCAGATTATGACAGGAATCAGCTAAATCTGAGCTAAATCGGTGTAGTTCAGTATAGCTTAAAATCGGTTCTAGAAGGTAAGATTCCCCATTATTCCTCCCATTCCACGCCCTCTGTTGGACACCTTACTCGCCCACTACATCTTCCTCTTATATATATTCCAAGAATTTGATATATATTGTAAATGCTCAAGACCTTATTACTATTATTATCTCAAATAGCTTTTTAAATATTCTCAAATTACACAGGAATGTAAGTATGTCGGCTGTTCCTAAGCTGGTGGCGTTTATACGTTGTGAAGGCATGCAAATTATACTGTTAAACAAATTGAACTAATAATTCTTAAGCAGAGTAATTGATATAATGATCACGAGAGGTTAGCAATTTTCTCGACACCAGAATTATAAAATATCACAGTAAGGAGAAACTCTTTTACTTTATACTTCACTATATCTCTGCCTGGTAAGATATTAAACTTATTCTCCAGTGTAAAAAAAAATCTCTGAGGGTCTTCTCATAGTTTTCTCCTCCTAACTGATCAGAGTGGAGTGGGAAGGTAGTGGACACAATCTCAGTTTAATTCTTCATGTTAAGTGAGTTACAGCAGGGGTGGATCCAATGGGGTATGCTTGCTGTACTTGTCATGTCCCCCCACCCTCAAGTTCTTGGACCCAACCCCTCCCCTTTTTGATATTCCTGGATCCGCCCCTGTACAGATATGTTTATTGACACGAGAATGATTTAGTGGAATACTCAAGGCTGTATCGACACTATTTATTATTTTGACTTCCAATAACAAAACAAATGCAACACGGGAAATAAAGAGCATCGCTTGTACCAGAGTTGCCTTGGTAACAGGTTCATTGTTGACATAGTGTGAGGCGCTGTCGCATACCTCAGTATTATGGCAACTGACCTTGATGGCAGTGGTAGGGCCTTGTCTCCTCCACACACACACACACACACACACAATAAGAAAATATCACACCGTAAATAATACTTATCGGAAAAGTTAGATATGAACGACTCAAATTCATTTTTCGTAAGGCGTATTTATGACTTCAATGGCGGCACATCGTCATTTCTTAATTAATCTTTCAGTTGGAATAATAACAATAACACGGGATTAACCGGCTGTGTTTATTTCTATTTTAATTTATTATTATTTTTTAACATAAACCTGTTTGCTGGATGTCATTATATATGTCGCAATAATTTGAATTTAACATGGAGGGGAGAGAAGGAGGGGGGAGGGAGATTTCGGGGGTGAGTATGGAGAACAGGAGAGAGAACGGTCGCGTGTGAGGCTGGCAGAGTTATTTAAGAAGAGACACAAATAATATCTATCAGTAACGAAGAAGATAAAAGTAAAGAAGTAAAAAATAACCCCCCCCACACACACACACACACACCCCCGCGCGCGACGCACAATAAACATTAGTTATTTTTTACATAATAGTAACTACGGCGTTTTTATCACAATTAAAATATTTTACCTCAGTCTCCGCTGGTCACGTTTTCTGTAAAGTAATCTCCTGCTTGTGTGCCTTGCTTCATCAATTACCTCTATCTCGTCTTATAATTAGTATGTCCTTGGTTAATAATCCGTTTTGATGTATGATTATCATAATATGTTTTCTCCATGTTGAAATTTAATCCCCATACGTATTTCGTATTTTTTTTATAATTTTCGCCACTTATCAGTTTTCTAATTAATTTCTTCCATTCGCTCATAAAGACGAGAGGAGAATTTGTAGCAACGCTCCTTACGTTGTCTACTTTATCTTCATCACTGATCGGCCTCTTACTAGCCTCTTGGGCGATCGGTCACGTCTCTGTTACACACTGTTGCTAAGTACTGGACATGTACCGGCTCCAAAATGTTTCTGTACCTGCTCCAGTGTTGGTCAAATCTGCTTAAACAGCTCACACTTGGTGCTGTCACAACACTCCCTGGCAGGTTGTTCAAAGATTTCACAACTCTTCCTCCCAAAAGGTTTGCCCTCACAGTTTTCTGGACCTGTGGCTTCTTCAACCTTACGTGTCAGCTGTGGCCCCTGGTGGGGCGGGCATCCACCAGTTCCATAGGGTATGGACATTCTACTCAGTAATGCCCTTTGAGATGCTTATAGACAAGTCACCTCTTACCAGTATATAGTATAAGTTAGGCAACTGCAGGCTTTCTAATCCTTGTGGGTATCTGAGGTGCCGCAGTGGATGGCCCTTCTTTGAACATTTTCAATCAACTGACAGTCTCTGGCATATATCATGGACCAGACTTTGTATGAGCTAAACATTACTAAAATAGCGAGGTTATGGTTTATAAGATATGTTAACATAAAACAAAGTATATTGTTATCATATGGTGTTGCCCAGAACTCCAGTTTTTTTCTATTTGTTTTATTATTATAGTGTTTGTTTTTTTGCGGGGGGCCAAAGAAGGGCGTTTTTAGACACATTCCAGGAGTCAGATAATTAAGCTACACAGTGCAGGACGGAGAAGCAACGTCCTGGGTTTGCGTACACAGTAAAGCAAGAAGAATAAGAACAAACAATTACAGTAACGAGAAGGTTGCATGGTGTGCCGCAGTTACTGGTGTGGGCCGTCATGCCGCGTGTGTCAGCATCGTCTCTGGACTTGCATTAGTATCCCACCAATTACCAACTGGCTATTACGTAATTGGACACCGAGGAGATTGGTCGTATCACGCGGGAGTCCAATTAAATACCTGGTGTTTAATAGAGCAATGTATCAAGGAGGAGTTGCGTGAGATGTTGGCTCATAGTTATAGAAGGAATTGTTATTATGGCGCCAGGCTGCGAGGGGTAGTTACGGTAGTACAGTACTATAACGGGTCAATCTCATCCCTGGCCAATCTAACCTAACAACCTCAACACTACCAATTAAAACGAAGAAAATAATCAAGCTAATTTAACCAAACCCTTATTATTTCAACTTATAAATAAAGGAATCAAAGGGTGTAGTAATTCTTGGAAACATGTTAGGTGCGTACTGCTTTGTTTTGGGATACTGTCAGTGTAATAAACGTTAATAGGGGGGAGACAAAAACTGGGATGAATGAATGAAATTGAATACTGGGTACTCAAAGAGATGCAAAATCTTGTAGAATTGGTAAAAAAAAAACCAGCCCAAAAACGTTTAGAGTGGAGAACTGTGGTCACCAACCCTCAGATATGAAGACTGTACGCTGACTTATTGATTAGGATATAATTCATCATTTATCTGCATAGCCGTTCAGGAAACCTGTAATTGGTAGTGCCACACTGGATAAAACCTTCCATGTGGGTGTAGGATTGGGACTCGAACCCAGGACATAACTATGAGAAGTGCACACACCACCATTGGTCACTATCATAAACACCAAAGACAGAAGACAGGAAAGTTCGACTTAAAATAACTGAATCGAGCGTAGGCGTATAGATGCCAGATACCCCATTAATAGCGTAATCTGTTGGCGTAGTCCAAACTTACTTCTGACGTCACAGGTAATGTATGATGTCATCGATGCAATTTTTTAATGCTAAGTAGACTATTGTCTCAGCATTAAAGAATTCTATTATAGTGATCTAGGTATATGCTGATAACCACAAGGAAAGAAGAAAACACGAAGTTCCCAAGCGCTTTCGTGTAATTCACATCTTCAGGGGTCTCTTAATTTACTTAAATATCCAGGTTCTAGGCGTAACCAAACCAAACCCTTAAGAAATTAATTAATTAAATATTAACACAATAAAGAGCCTCGTAGGCTGTCACAACAAATTGATTCACCATCGAAACTTTTAAGACAAATGATACTAAACATCGAAACATCAAAAGAATAAAAAATAAAGCATTGGATTACGTTAACACTGCATAAACATATAAAAACTATCACTGAAATTAACTAACGTGAAACAACACTGAATTACTTAAATGTATCTAAGCAAATACTGATGGACATAAATAGAGACTTAAATAGGTACTCACATAGATATACCACATTGGTGGTGACAGGAACAACACAAATAAATTAAGTATAAGAAACAAGTGACACTCAAAGGATGTGGACTGTATGACAAGAGGACTGAACTAACTCCGTCAGTTGGTGGGTCCTATATATAAGGTCGGCTGCCGCCACGCGACCCGCCGGTGGGTTGTTTAACGATGCAGATGGTCGTTAGAGAACAAAGAATGCTGGTTACAATACTAAATAAAGAAATAAGATGGGCTTGAACAAATAATGACAGTTAAAACCTTAACAGCACAGGGTAAGGTGACTAGAATATATAATAGTAAATTTAACACATCATTACAGGAATAATATGGAACATGGGAGCAGGTTATATATAAAAAAATAGAAAAAAGTTCGACACGGTCGTAACAGCTGCTAAATAACAAAGTTCACTAAACGGAACTAATGAATCACCGCCGCTTGTACAAATGACTAATAATGTCTCAGCTAGGAAGGAGGCGGTCAACGGAGCTTAGCTAAGTTTAAATGATAAATCCCACGTTTTTTCATCTGTGCGAAAGAACATTATCGAGTAAACGTCTTACTATTCCATTTTAGGTTTTGAAGGAAACATACAAATACGTGTAGTTGTCTGGCTCAAGTTTTTTGCATTATTATGTAATTCTAAAGTCGCAGTCAGTAATATACAACAAAATAATGCAGACGACACACCTACGTCACAATGGCGACAGTAATACTGTCGGGGGTCCGCTCACACTTGCAACCTGCAGTATCCTTCCAAATCTGCAGGTAGGACCACCTCCAAACCCAATCCGGTCTGGCTGCTCCAGGAGCTCCAGCCGGGACCACCAAACGGGCCGCCTATAGGCAAAGGCCCGTGTCGGACTATGGTCCGACAATCTCAACAACAACAACAACGGTGACCTCTTTCTTCTTCTAGCTACAGCCGCAGCAAGCAACACCACCACCTCCGCCGCTGCCTGGCAGCCCTCGCTCCTCCAGAGCCCTCCGACACACACACACACACACTGACGGTCCTCCAGAGCCCCCCCCCACACACATGGTCCTCCAGACCCCCCACACGGTCCTCAGACCCCCAGACCACGGTCCTCCAGACCCCCCCACACACACGGTCCTCCAGACCCCCGACACGGTCAGACACACACACGGTCCTCCAGACCCCCCCACACACGGTCCTCCAGACCCCCCCCACACACGGTCCTCCAGACCCCCACACACACGTCCTCCAGGGTCCTCCAGACCCCCCACACACACGGTCCTCCAGACCCCCCACACACGGTCCTCCAGACCCCCCACACACACGGTCCTCCAGACCCCCCACACACACAGGTCCTCCAGACCCCCCCACACACACACACCTCAGACCCCCCACTCCTCCAGACCCCCAACACACACACGTCCTCCAGATCCTCCCCCACACATCCTCAAGACTCCCCACACACACGGTCCTCCAGACCCTCCCACACACACACACGGTCCTCCAGACCCCTCCCACACACACGGTCCTCCAGACCCCCCACACACACAGGTCCTCCAGACCCCCCCCACACACGGTCCTCCAGACCCCCCACACACCGTCCTCCAGACCCCCACACACACACACGGTCCTCCAGACCCCCCCCACACACACGTCCTCCAGACCCCCCACACACAGTCTTCCAGACCCCCCACACACACGTCCTCCAGACCCCCCACACACACACGGTCCTCCAGACCCTCTCACACACACACACACGGTCCCACACACACACGGTCCTCCAGACCCTCCCACACACACACACGGTCCTCCAGACCTCCCACACACACACACACAGTCCTCCAGACCCTCCCACACACACACACATGGACCTCCAGATCCCCCACACGCGTCCTCCAGACCCCCCCCCCCACACTGATCTACGTTGGACGATATTAAAGTCTCCGTTTTGATAGTCTTATAGCTCATGTTCCCTGTTGACTCTTGAGGTGAGGGATTGGGGTAGTTCGCTCACAGTTTATTTAGCCGAAAAATACAGATACAGAGTTGAGTAATATTATTGAGAGCCTAAGCTCACCTAGTGATAACTGGGTGGTACATATTTATTACATCCAGTTCCCCGAGATTATGTTTGGTAATGAGGGTCACACGTGTCTGTCCGAGGTTCGAACCCTTGGTAGACAGATACGCGCTTAAGGGCTGTACTACCAAACCTCCATCATATGTTTTTATTATAAATGGTTGGTAAAAACAGCCAGTAAACATTTAGCGTGAAGAACTGTGGCACCCAGCCATCAGATGTGAGGATAATAGTCCGACTGATTGATCATAAAGGAAACATCAGCATTGGAATAATAAACCAAGACGGAAATGAGTGTTTTAATAGGAGTTTTATTTAGTAACAGCTTTTAGTGGTATTAGAATACTGAAGACGATGGTATTTTTATTATTAAAAATATCATTATTTTAGGTTGATAGTCACCTAATTTACATATTGCGTCTCGGGAACCTGTACAATATACAGTACATGAAAACAACACAATATTTGTAATACAGTACTGTAACATAACACAATATAGTACAGTACTGTACACATTACAGGGTATGAACTACAGATACAAGTTTATTATATAGTACATAATATAATAGAGCTAGTACCTGTAGTAGTTATTCCTTAGTAATGACACAGAATTTGATATTGTAACTGGGGTTGCAATTGTTGAGGCAACTTAGATATGTCTGATTACAGTTGGAATATTCAAGATCCATTGTGAGTGATGATTAAAGCTTCAACTGTCTTTATGGTTGGTAAAACTTGTCAAGTCTGTCAGTCTGAGTGCTTGTGTTTGTACAACCACTTTCATTCAGATCCACTAAAGATATAATGTTATGGTAATTATCAGAAACACACATAGGCATGACTAGGTTTATTACAAAGTGATGTACAGGTAGTCCACAAAACATGTAGCTATGCTTTCTTTATTTGAGTGCCCCGTCATAGGAGTCCGTTTTCTCTCGCTTCAGGACATCTGAGTCCTACGTTCTCTCTCAATCTTAGAGTGCACCAGAGACTTCGTTATTCCTTAGTACAGTTATGACACAGAATTTGAAATTGCAACTGGGGTTGCAATTGTTGAGGCAACTAGATATGTCTGATTACAGAAAATGTGTTATTGTTAATTTGTAGGTTAAAGATTTTATCCTCAATAGATGGAGGCAAATGCGTGATAACCAGAGCATAAGGATTATAAAGAAAATACTAAAACTATAGCATGAATTACTGTACACAGTGTACCAAAATATCTAATAAAATACTGAACCTAAACCTTCAATCAATCAGAGTACCGTCCTCTTATCTGAGGGTTGACAACCACAGTTCTCCACTCTAAACGTTCTTGGGTTGTTTTTACGAATCCTCTAAGGTTTTGTATCTCTCTGGAGATCCCATTTTTAATTTCATTCATCCATCCCAGCCTCTGCTTTCCCCTGGCCCTCTTACCCTCGACTTTGCCCATTAATATTTACTGATATTATTCCAATATGACCAAATTATCTAATTTTTCTTTTTCTGTACCTAAACCTTACAAGGCTTTTAAGGTTTAAAGTGTTTTACTTTAAAACCAGCTTAAAACTACCAGTAATAAGACATTGATATCAAAGACATTTATCATACACAGCAAACCCCATCCAATGCTGTGTTCTTGAAGATTGATGTGTTCAGTGAATTCACATAGGCTGAGCTTCAGAGCAAACAGGGTATATAGTGAGTGGGTCATTCAGTCTTCAGATTACCACATACAAAAATAAATACTGTAAAAAAGTTATGACTTAAATATTAATTAAGTTAATAAAAAATTAAAACAACATACTGTACGTATTTGATTCTGGGTCAAGTTTGTAAGAACAAACCTTGAGATTAAAGTTAGGGAGGCTGTCTTAAATTTACATACAGCGCATCATTACTGTTGGACTGTAAACACGTGGCAGCAATCATAGTTTAAGGAGTAAATTAAATTATGATAAGAAATTAAGACTTATAAATTAATGGTGACTTTAGATGTCAGTTTAATTTGTTGTGTTGGCTTGGTAACCCAGGCGAGGTGATGGGCACCCTAGTCTTGCATCCAGACACTTGTGTAATTATGTCTGTTGTACTGATACTGTACATATTATAAATATAAACGCTGACTATAATAACTGAATTGTATATAATATATATCACAGGGTAAAATAACATTATAATGAATCAGTAAAGTGGTGACTACATGTTTAGTCTGAGGGTGTGTGTCTGAACATGGTCAAGGTGGCAAGTAGATAGACAGTTAGACACAGTATACACTTATGCTAACCATTCTGGGTGTAGACTTAAAAGGTTAGTATTGGCATAAACACAAATTGTGAGCTGAAAATTTGGAGGTCAACTACTGTGGCAGATGGACTTGTATGCCTGTATACAGTATATGGTAACTGTGGCTCCACATACTGCCACCTCACCTGAAATTTAAAAGTTGATAATTTGGCATCAAGTGACTTCTGAGGGTTCCATATCTTACTTCTTATTCATATTCTGAATGTTGACATAATCTGAACTCTTCTGTGGCTTCTCACTGAGGTTCTGGCTGTCACCTAAGTTTCCATGAGTCTCAACGACCATGGCATCTTCACTAGTATATTCCTTAGCTCCTACAATGTTGTCAGTCAGTGTTTTTGGCTCTTTTAAGGTCATGCTACAGAATGAGATAGGCAAATTCATGTTAATTATCAATCCAGTACAGTACTGTAAAATATATACAAGTATATAAAAATTCACCTTTACTGTCACACTTTGGCTGAAATATGAGTAAAGGTGTCCAAGCTCCCTACTGCTTCATAACTGGTTGGCAAGATGGAATCCAATACTGTATTATTATTTACAATAACAAATTTGTATGTTTTTTGTACATTCTGTGTAACTACAGTAAAGGTGACTTTTAGGTTTATTAATCTAATTTAACTCAATATGCTATTGAATGTAAATGTTCTCTTATAAGTGAAGAGTCATAAAATAATGTATATGTTTCACAAAATATATTTCTACATTTCTTATACTTTTTCTTGAAGGTACAACACATCTTACAGTACTCAGTTACTTACCTATCAGACTCGAGGGGATCCACAGGTGAAGAATTCGAGTCACAGTTCCCTCCCATTAGCAGGTCGTCATTCTTTTTTGAAGAAGACCTTACCAAGTGTTCTGTGGCAGGATTGTTGCTCTTACTATTCTTATAAACGGCTGAAGAGCATGTCATATTCAGATAGACATCAGTTGCCTTGTCACTCACTTCCTGTAAAATGATAAAGTTAGATGCAAGGGAGTAAAAAAAACCATCTACAAATATTTTGTATACAGCATATAACACCTATAGAATTTTTAGCATACAAAGACCCAGCAACAACTCTTGGAAAAAATTATTAAAGAATTCTGGAAGTTGAACTGGCATTTGCTTTACAAGATAAGTGAGACAGTGACAGACATATTGGAGGAAGAATGCATATTATACAAATTTTACTCTTGGGGAGATAGAAGTCATTTAAAATCTGGGCTAACCAACAATGGCACATGTCCAAAAGTCAGCTCAGGCAGAGTACCTACTGATGGTGACTGACAACCTCGACAACTGGTAAACTCACAAGTGACACAGATGATAAGTGAGTAAGAAAAAAAAAATATTGGAAGTAGAAAGACCAAACAGAAAAGAAAAACCACTCTGAATGGTAGTGCATATTTTGATGTATGCTGTGTGTGTGTGTGTGATATCACTGTAGCCACAGAAAGGGTCTACTTGACTATTAATATACTTACTTTGATGTGTCAGCTTACTTATTTACTGGTGTCTTTCAGCTTACTTATTTACTGGTGTCTGTCAGTTTACTTATTTAATGGTGTCTGTCAACTTACTTATTTACTGATGTCTGTCAGCTTTCATATTTATTGATCAATCTGCTAAATTTCATGGTATAAAAACTTGAAAATTTAAGGACAAATTTTGATTTATGCTGCAAATTTTTGTATGTATTTCTCATAATGTTATTTTGGGTTCAGTGACTATAGAAACCTTTTTATGTCCTGAGCAGCCTTAAAATTCAACCAAAAGCAAAATGAATTAAATACATACAGTATATAAAGACATTTAAACTAAACTAAATTAAGATACAGTACTGAAACTGTTACAGTCATCTTGTGGGGTTATTGACAAGACACTAACACAGGGACCTCAACTCTGGAAACTTTATACTCTCCTGTATTGTTATGGTAAATGATGATGGGGGATAAATAGTCTGACTTACTGAAAAGTGGCAGTACAACGGTAAAGTGTGTATCTCTCACCAACATGTCAAGGGTTCGAGTACTGATCATCATTATCATCTATGTTTCTAAGCTGGGGGGAATAAAGAGACAGAACAGAGCAATGAATTAATTATGGACAACAGAAATGGTTGTAACGCAGGCACAGCAATGCATGGGATAGTTATATAATACTGCAGGCAGCGCTCATCGGCTCCAAAACAATCAATCACTTCTTCAATGAAGGCTTTTTTCCATCTAACACCTTCTGGCAATGCATGCTGAGCATGCACAATCCAGACAAGCATTCAATCAACATTGTTGATCGAAGCTATGTCTTGACATGTCTCAGCGTATTATGACCACTCTACTTCACAAGTGGATACTAGAGGTGTGAAGAGTCAGTAGAGCTTCCCAAACTGTAGGAAACAAATCACACTGCTTCACAAGATCCGTCAAGGACAAGGTTGCACCGGAATCAGATGCGGTTTTCTTCTGGGAATGCTGATGCTGTGTCCATATTTCAGCAAAATTGTCAATACTGTAGATATAATTTAACTGTGCCCTTTTTGCTACATTCAGCAACCACTACAGTATATCTTTCCTCACATTTCCACCACAACTTGGTTTTGCAAGTAACACACTTGGTATATATGAACTCATTACAACAGATTTTTGAAGCATGCTTATAACTCAACTATTTCCATGGTAGTAGATGTAAATAAAATAAAATATTATCCCTGAGGGTAACGAGCTCAGAGCTTTCCACTATACAATACAGTATATGCTTTGCTCTTATATTCATTAATGAATAATAATACTGTAACCACACATACATAAACATTAACATACACAGCTTTGGTTAAATGGTAGCAAAAGAGATATAGACTCAGAGAGACAACTTTACTCCTAACGTTTTGTCATGAAGGACATTATCAGAGGAGCCATTCCTTTGATAAAGTCCTTTGTGATAAAACTTTGGGAATCAACTTATCTGAGTTTCTTGCTACCATATAACAGAAGCTGTGTATGTTGATGAAAGTGCACGTGTGAGTTCTGTTCACCATAGAGCTATACATGTGGCTACTGCAGATACTGGCTATGCAGAACTGTATGATGAACCACATAGTGCCACATATCTCAGCAAACACTGGCTACCATACCAATACAGGGTAATGGCATTTCACGAGAGCAGGTACAGGCTATTTTTTTTAATCTCGGCTGTGCACTATGGGTTCCCAAAATACTGACTAATGACTGAAGCAATTTGTTGCCTTGGTTTCAATGTCTTGGTCCATGCAGCCCGGAGGAGCTCAGTCAGATTCCCATTTATTCCCTAAACTTATGAACCATCTTCAAGGGTGATATTTCTCTTTGAACATTGGGAGTCAAGAAAGCTGTGAGCCTGTGAGGAATTGGTTTCAACAAGACACAGAGTTCTAGCATGATGGCATAAAAAATGGCTTGAGTATCAGCAGCAGTATGATTATGTGGAGAACTATGTCAGAATTAAGAATAAAGTTCACTGTAGTTATGTCTTTGTTTAATTGCGATATCTTATCCCATTTCAGGAATATGAATTAGGAAGCATCACTTTTCAATACTCTATTGTAGTGTATATAGTACTGTACAGCATACACAAATACTGTATATTTTATATGTTGGAAATTAGAAAGTTCTATAATTTGATTTAATACATTTTTAATATCTAGTTTCCCTTACGCACATCATGTGGAGCAGAATCTTCATAAACATTACTCTATTTTATTCCTGTTAAACAATCTCTTCTCTGGTTCAAAATCATAACCGTTCCAGTAAAGTACAAGTCTACATTTCATCCTCCGCTGGTCATAGATTGCCTAGCAGTGATGGAGCTGGGTCTGCAGAACTGAGTACTGTACACATTTGGGGTAAGGGAAAGGGATGGTCAACCAATTAAGTGTATTATCTGAAGGTTTTAGAATAGAATACAGTACATAGATTGCCAATGATTCTGAAACTTAATTACAATTCAATATATATTCTAAGTAGAACTGAACGTGCCTATGTGTATTAACAAGTACAGTACCTTTGTTCCTCAGTAGCGTAAATATTACTGCCTAGTTTCCAGTGGTTCACGTAAATTCTTCACAACATCAAGCTCTATCACATAATGTGAACTTTACTATACTGTATACTTACCAACCGTTGTTGTCTTGGTACTGGCCAGGAGAAGGACATCTCTTGGTGGGAGTTCTTGGGGTTTTTACACTGCAGTATGAGATCATATCCCACCACTGCATGGGAATTTGGAGCTTCTTTAATTTCTGGGTCCTGTACTTTCTGGCCAGTATCTACAGTCGGATGACACAAAAAATATTGCATGTCTTTGGGAAAAAGCAGACGACAAGTTGAAGTCATGGAAGTGCAGTCTATGAAATTTAATTGAGCTTTAGATATGTTGAAAGGATTTTTGTTTCTGAGTCGATACAGCATTCATCTCATGTTTTAAGAAGAGTTGCTGGTTCAATCCAGAGGTACTCACAATCCACCCTGCTGTAAACAGGTACATAACTTTACAAGTTGGGGAAATTAAAGCAAACAATTGCAGAGTCAGCCATGCTGCCTCCTTGTATACTGAAGGCTCAGTGAGCTGTATCCACAATGTCCCAAACAGGTGGTCATGTGTATGGAAACTATTTTCAATTTCAATAGATAAAAAAAAATGTTTTGTTAATCCTCAATGATCCTCTAAGCTACCCCAGGCATATCTAACAAGTCAGAGCCTCAGAGAGACACTCACGTCCTCACTCTAGAGAGATGTAACAGATGGAGACTTTTGGTGGTGTGGCAACAATCACAGTCACAAGTAAAGTAAAGTACAGTACAGTACAGTACAGTACAATACAGTATATCAAGTCCAATATACTGAAATAAAATTTAGGTCACAGTGAAAAGGGTTGTGACAGATGGGAGGGATAAAGACACAATAAAAGAGTACACCGTAAAATAATTCCACAAAAATTCCCTTTCAACATGTTCCAACAAAGCCTAAGACAACCATAATTATCTTTTCTCATCCAAAAATTGGATTTCTGCCATTCATTAGTTATAATCTGCACTATTTACCACACCCCCAGTAACTGCTGTAAGTTGAACACATTTCTTATATGAACAAATAAACTGTACAATGAAAGTTTTTGAGTGATTTAAATTTAAAAAATACAGAACTTACGATTAAAGGAAATGTCCCACATGCGACGATTATAGTTCTCCTCTTGGTTATTTAGTACTATTTCACAAGAGTACTGACCAGCTTTCTCAGGCTGCAAGTTGGTTAGGTTGAATCCCATTCTTGGGTCAAAGGGGGTTTTATCAGTAATCTGTCAAAATCATAGTTTATTAAAAGAATGTGAATCACCTGACTCTGTTTACTGTAAAGTGAGAAATATGTCTCAACTCCTCAGGTTTACTCTTCTGCAACTGGTAAGTACACCAATGCCTGATGCATTTTTGGTCTCTTTGTTGTTGTACAGTATTATAACTAGTAATTTACATGGCTGCAAACTGATTGTATTCAGGCATTTGGTGACAACCACTTCAGGGGTTAATAATTACTTAAGACTTTTATCAGCATCACCTTAAAGGACTCACATCAACATCACCATGGAAGAGAACGACCTTGAGGTGTGGCTCTGATGGTCTGCAATCCAAAAGGCACGACTCTCCTGCTTTTACTTGCCATGTTTTATCTTCATCCTGGGTTAAAATAGCCCATTCCTTATATCGATAGTCAGCTGTAAAGGATAATACAGTACAGTAAATGTGTTGTTTCTCTGTTTTTTTTCTGTTTTATATTTATTTATTTATGATTGTTTGTCTGAGCATTTATTAAGTCAGATTGGCAAAAGGCCAAGTTAAAAAAAAGTAAATAAGGGTTACTGAGGACGGTCACCTCCACAAACTGAAGTAAATACAGCACAGTAAACCCTCACTAATCTTGGTTTCTGGATTCGTAAATTTTGTGAACTATACCTGTGTCAACTCCCCATTCATGACCCCTGACCTCTAGTGGAACATCATGATGCACCAAATGCCATTCACTACAACAATACAATAAAGGTACAACCACATTCACTTCCAATACTGTTTAGCACTTACGAATTTACTAAAACACAGAGAATGTTAGGTTTTTTACATTATTCATTACAGTATTCTATATTACACTGGGGTAAATTTTCAACATCACTTTAACCTGAGTACCGTGTAAGTTGAACTCAATATATTGGCAATAAAAATCCATAATATTAAAGAAGTGCCACTTAAAATATTGTACTTTAGTTTAATACTTAAAATTCTTATATTAAATCATCAAAAATAGAAACATCTTCATTATAAATCATGAACTAGGTTTGAGACGTCAATATCATATACAGCTCCTCCCCGACTTACGGCCTACTCGACTTACGACCTGCCTCAGTCGTACTAAAATTTTGTCAAAATACGTATTTTCGAGTCCCAACGTCAGTGATTGCTCGGTGTACTGACAAAATTTTCGTTTGTAATTCCCTTTAAAATGGCTGGCAAGCTTAAAAGTGATAGTTTTGTGGTGCTGAGAAGAAAAAGAGACACCCATTTTAGATTTTCTATGTAGTATTTTCGCATTTTTTTTTATCTCCACATTTTCCCTTTGCTTCAATGCCCTGCCCACTTTAAACAAGTATTATAGTTGGTAATTTTATCAGTTAAAAAACTCGAAAAATACAAATTTCCGATTGAAACCGTATAAATTAAATTATTTTTAGTTTTGTCTTTTTCTCTCTACTTGTAAGCCTAGACCTACGGCGTAGAAAACAATGCATTAATGTTTCAAATAAGCCACACAAAGTATTAGGTTTTATATCTAGAAGTGTTATTAATAAGAGTGCAGAGGTTTTATTGCAACTATATCTTGCACTAGTCAGGCTGCATCTTGATTATGCTGTTCAGTTCTGGTGCCCCTATTATAGAATGGATATAAATTCACTTGAGTCGGTGCAGCGAAGAATGACGAAAATGATTCCGGGACTTAGAAACCTTCCCTGTAGAGATAGGTAAAAGAAACTAAACTTGTATTCCCGAGAAAGACGAAGAGTGCAGGGAGATATGATAGAAGTATTTAAGTGGGTGAAAGGAATCAATGAAGGTGATATAAAGTTCTTATAATATCCGAGCAGGATAGGACTCGTAGCAACGGATTTAAGTTAGATAAGTTTAGGTTTAGAAGGGAGAGAGGAAGGAACTGGTTCACACATAGGGTGGTGGACGAGTGGAACAAGTTAGCAACTTTGTAGTAAGTGCTGGAATGCTGGAAAGTTTTAAAAGGAGGCTAGATAGATTCATGGATGATAGAGAGTGGTAGTAACTCTCGACAGGAGCTGCCATGCACAGGTCAACCAGCCTATTGCAGACTCCTTAATTTCTTTTGTTCTTATGTTTAAGTTCTTATAAGACTCAATGTTTAAGTAGGTGTTGGTATCTTCTAAATATTTCCTATGCTGTTCTCAGAAATGACCAAAAACCGTTTCTAAGTACTTATCATTTACTTAAGATGTCATGTTAACAGTAGGTGAACTCGTCTTTTAAAGGCGCACATAATTGTCCCTCTTCTGGTGTGATTGTTAGTCAACACATCTCCACGTGTTGCCCTTACGAAATTTCCTTTCGTTCTTGTACTTATTCATGGGCGTTATTACGTACTGTGTCTTACCTAATGAGATGTCGACAATAATGATGTAACCGTGTGATGGTTAACTTGAACAGAGAACTAGATAGGAAGGTTTAAACAGGAACAATATCACCAGCCCTCGCCCTCCACGTGTTTAAATCTCTGTTGGATAATATTTACATCTACCAGCTGATCACTGAGTTGCCATACCCATCTTAAAACACAAACAAAACTAAATATACATAAAAAGAACGACTGAAAACATTTTAAATATATGAAACTTCGACAAATAGAATATCTTTTCACTTGATCTACTTAAAGATACACGAAATGTTAATAAAGATGAGTTATTTAACTTATTTGTCAGCTCCTCGTCGATCGTTGCCAGATTCATTATAATATTAATTATCATCATCAGACTCGCTCAAGCAATGGGGTGTATTTATCTAATCCACAAAAAAGCATTTCTAACAAATTACCTATTTATCTTCGTTATGATGTAGATTATAATTCATCGTATCTTATTAACTCTAGCCCCTCTCTCTCATACACCCCCACTTGTCTATCACTCTCACTAACACTTTTTCTATCATGTTATTGCATAAATTTTCTAAAAAAAATAAATTTTCTGAGCGCGTCTTGTCACACGTACAGAGAACTAACCTGTCAGTCTTTACCTTGCCCCGTTCAGGGGCGGATCCAGAGGGGGTCAGGACACCCCCCTTACCCCCCATTTCATCAGAAGATCCTCACACCTGGTTTTTTTTAATGCAGTATTATACTCAGGCTTTTTTTTATATAGTAAAATGCAATTACTATTTACTTCAGAATATCTCCTAATACCAAGTGCACATGGCTTCAATATGGCCTCAAATGCCCGTGATATTAGTCAGGTTTAAAAAAAATCGGGGGAGGGAGCTTACAGCACCACCCCCACCCCCCCAACCTCCCAAAAATCTTCAACTGGAAGGGTTCCCCCACCCATAACTTCTTGGACCCCTTTTTTTATATTTCTAGATCCGCCCCTGATGGCATTGTATGCCTTAATCCTCTTTTGTTTTGTTTTTACCGTATCTGTCGTCCCTTTGGTTCCACAGGCAATAATGAGATTTAATATTGCCTTATCACCATGTATTATTCGGACAGGTGTGTCCAAACGGGAATAGATAGGGACCGTGAACAAGTTGAACGCATGGTTCAATGTGCAGTACGCTAAGTAAAGTAAAAAGGAGTAAGCCACTCAGACAGACAATACATCTCACCCTTTCTTTTGCTCACTTTAATTCCTCCACTCACTATCCCTTGCTCTATACTCTCACGCCAGTCTCACTTGCCCTCGTCTCTCTCTCTCTCACACACACTGACTCACCTCAAGCTTCATGTCGTTAATATGTTTCGTCAAATTTGTGTACTTGTGGCGGAGCCAATGGAGGGCCTCAGTGCCTTCACACGTTAAGGTGACAGAGCTGTTGGTGACTATCTCCTTCGTCTCGTTCATCATCACATTGACTATCCTGGGCGGCAGACTATGACTGTCTCTCACTGCTGGGGGAAGGGAGGCAAGATATTCACTATGTGTGAGAGAGTACACTATAAATTCCCCTCTATTCATATATGTATATAGAGTGAACTTTAAACTTCACAAACTCACAAAACGTATATACTAAACCCGCGTAGACTGTTGTGTTTTATTATATTCTTCCTCACATAACTTAATCTCTCGACTATCACAAGAAGAATATCCACCCAAGCTTATTCACCTATAGATTAACCCACCTTACATTATTTGGGGGAGGGCTTAGTTTAGTTTAGTTTAGTTTAGGTCTATTTATGTACTTACAGAGGCAGATCAACAGCAAACACAACAAGTAGCTGACGTCACGCATGGTGGTTAACTCTTCTTCGTGGTTATAAAAGGTAAATGTTGAAGCTGAAATGTTGGTTTATCATTGGTTAAAAATAAGACAGGTTAATGCTGGCAAAGAAAACACATAAACAATTATAAAAGAACAAAAACTATAAATAAAACACGACTAAAGACAAAATTATGTTATCAGACTAGTTATTTTTATTTTTAACGGGGACCAGCCCACCCGGGCACAGGTCACTGACCCACATCTGGGCCTGGGGGGCGAAAATGTAATACTACTACTAATAATAATAATAATAATATTATTAATTTATAGTACATAGAATTTATAAGAAAAATTATACAATTGAAAATAAAATAATAAAATATTAATAATACAGGTAACAATAATAATAATATTATAATAATAACAAAAAAATATAAAGAAAAATAAATAAATAGTGAGAAACAATATATGTATGTTGTGTTGTCATTGTAAGAGAAACAATTGAGACCCTGCAATTGTGTGTAAAAGAGGCAGAAAGTCAGATCAGCAACCTGGGACTTGGTCACATATGGCAGCAGGGTCTACCATTATACAACACATTATGCTTACAATATCTTCCCAGGCAGTAGTACCGTAGTGGATTCCTCCCCTACAAACGCTTGTCCCGTACCTCCCTGTTTGGTAGCTGCCTACGGTAAATTTTTACTTAGGACATGAGTCCCTAGGGGTTGGCCAATATGTTTTTCCAGTGTCTTTTGATGTGTTTTCAACGAATCTGATCATTTCTGGCGGACATTGCTAGTTTTTACCCCCACCCCCTGGGAAATCGGGGTTTTTGGGTGGGGGAGAAAACGAAAACGAGTCATCTGACATAACAAAACCTAAACTAACTAACCTAGCCGGGGGCTTTGACCCCGGACCTCCAGTAGGCCTAACCTGACCCCTAGCCGGGGACGCCCCCAGCCCACGGTAGGCTTAGCTTAAACTAATCTAAATGTTTCAGTAGTTAAAAACTTTGGGGGCGCCATGTCCGAAAGTACAATACGTTAGTTAGAAGTGGAAGGACCAGGAATATGTAAGAATTGGATAGAATGATTGTCTTTCTCGCAAAACTCGGCACTAAACTTAAAATACTCGTAGGAGCACAAATGACAACCAACCTCCACCACGGCCATTGTGAGACTGGTCAATGAAATTACCCAGGCTGCTTCCTTTGAAAAAATAAATAAAATGTGATGTACTATCAAGGAATAAACAATTGAAATTGAAATGTGATTGGTCGAAAAAAATTCGCGTGATGATATTCACACCTCCTTGGTCCTGACTGGATGACGTCAGTCAACATTGCGCATGCGTGATGCGCAGATAACATCTCACAGACGAAGACTGAAAACAACTTAAAATCAATTAAATTCAATTGTGTCGCTATTACCCATTTCTGCCTGGTATATATGGGGCTCAGAATAGCGAGGTCTAAATGTTTCAGTAGTTTATAACTTTCGGGGGCACTATGTCCGAAAGTAAAATAATAGCCTGCCTACTACCTTAATTGGAACAGTAGTTTATTAATTTAAAGATATTATAGGAAGCCATTAATCACAAATATCAAAGAACAATTACTTACCACTTGCTACAGAGGCATGTAATGGTCAGATCTGGCAGTACTGATAACATTTCACTGCCGTCTCGAAAGACGACTTCATCAACTCATCAAACTATGTATTAAGGATTGCAAATGAATTCAATGGGGAATATTATGCTCAAAATTTGGTATGGCAATGGGTAACCCTCTCACCTGTATTAAGCAACCTATATATGGAATTCTTTGAAAAGAAACTATTAAGTAATATTTACCACCTCCAGCAGTCTGGTTTAGATATGTTGATGATGTATTATGTCTCTGGCCATGTAATGAGGACCTAAAACTTTCCTGCCACAACAACAACTTAGCCCCTCGATCAAATTCACTGTGGAATTAGAGCAAGACTGTAAATTGCCATTCCTGACTGTCTGATACACAGAATAGGTAACACTTTTAAGTTCAGTATTTATAGAAACCAACTAATGTGTGTCATACATTCATTATTATTCTGTCCACATAATAAAGTCAAACAGTCAGTATTTTCACAATGTTTTTACGTGCCTTGAGAATTTGCAGTCCGGAATTCATCGATGAGGAATACAAATATATATATAATATTGGCTCAAACCTTAAATACCTAGATCTTTCATAGACAAATGCTTAAACATTACTAAAAACTTTTATAGAACTGACCCCAAGCCCACCCATTGTAATGGTCATGATAAGAGCTAACCTGAAAACCTTAAGGATTCATATTACGCTCAAACGTCCACAAAACCTTCGAGTCCCCAGTGGAAACGTCCCCGTTTCTCTGTTTCCCCCCTTTGTCTATGGGAGCAGACGCTGTATGCTGGGACCTGTTGCCATCCATTCCTTTGTAATCAATTTAATTTTGCTTTCGATAGCTGAGTCAGAGCATTGTTAGTGAAGATAATAGTAGAGAATGAAAATGAGTTCATAGTCTCAATTTCAACGTCAGAGGTACCGTAAATTAATTCATTGGAATAGAGTAGCTGGACTCCTGGTCTGGTTTGAGTGAGACGCGGGCATTTTAACCGTTAGTAAGTGCCGTCCCTTCATCCATACAGGTATGCCATTCCACGCTGTGTTGTAATTTGCCCTTCTTTAAGTGATTTACCATTGATAGTTGATTGTGCAAGTGTTACAGTAACGTAGTTGATATGCTCTGAGTAAAGTCATATTTACGTCTTTAACGTCCCCTGAAACGTGTTGTTGTTGTCACCGGTTAGTAAGTGCCCGTCCCTTCATCCATACAGGTCCCTAACGCAGCCTAGGCCGTGTCTGTAGGGTGGATGTTGTATCCACTATGTCTGGGGACATGTCCGAGGTCCAGTAGGATCAGTTACCTTCGTGAGACCCGGCCGTCAGACACTTCAGACCACCTATAGCCCCATAGCTGGCTCGTCTGGCCCTAACGCTCGGTCCACGAGGTGACCCGGGACCACCAAGCCACACACCACTACCAGCCCCATCATTGGTGGATGAATGTCTACCTCAGTAGGGCTATATTTGTGTGGTGGAATTAACCCACTGGGATCTCAGAGTTCGTCGGATAGTACTCCATGGTGGCTGGACCCCATGGCTGTTGTGAGTATCCTCCTGACGACTGAGTGTTGTAGTGGCAGTTGCCCTAGTATGTATGGTGCTAAGTGACTATCCTAGTTGTGCTATTGAGTATGTCCACAGTAGGGTTGGAAGTGTATTGAATATGTCCACCCAGTAATGGTGTGAGTATGTTGAGCCTGAGGGCCTAGTAATAGATTTCGTCTGTTAGTACAAACCAATTCTTTCTTCTAATTTCATATTCATGTTTAAATAAACTTTGTATTTGTATAATTGTGTATATTACCTACAGTATTTACCGTTATTTCTTCCTATTGCTTGATACTATCATTACACCTACCCACGGGCCTCCTATCGTCACGCTACCAATGGTGATATATAAGAGTAAAAAAAGTATTAGAACACAGGTCATGAAGGGTAGAAGCAGCCCTCATAAATGGTGGCAGCTCAAGCCCTCATACCATGACCATAAGAATATCTTAATATTACCATTTCACAAAATTTCTCACACATTCCTGCACAGCTAAAACCTGGAACGTCAATGTGGCATTTAAAACTCATGCACTGTTAAACAAATGTTAATCAAGAACTCCCCCAACAACACAATTGGTTTGCATTTATAAAGTTCCTTGCAAGGAATGTAATATGTTTTACTTAGGCCAGACAGGTAAAGATCTTGCAACTAGAATTAAACAACACAAATACAGTGTTAGGACAGGCCAGGAATCCAATGCTCTGTTTGTTCATTTGAGGATAACAAGCATTGCATTGACTGGGATAATGCCTCATCAATATTACCATGTAAGTCAATTGACAGTAGGAACATCATAGAATCTAGTTTTATTAAACATACGAAGCATTCAACATGAATTTGAGTAACGGCATGTACAAGCTGGACAATTTTGTAATTAAGAAGATTTGTGATCAGGTGAGAAGGCCGGGTCCTTGACCATCTGACCTGACCACCAACCGTTGTGTGCTATTTAAGATTAGTAGGGTCATTACCTAATACCTGACCATTGTGGACCTGGTCTCACCCTCCTCTGTATATATACACCTTGATTTGTATTACTCTCTCTAGTCTGTACTCACCCTGAAGATGTGAATTACGGCGCTTGGGACATGTTTACTTCTTTCCTTTGTGGTTATCAGCATATATATATATATATATATATATATATATATATATATATATATATATATATATATATATATATATATATATATATATATATATATATATATATTATATATATATATATATATATATATATATATATATATATATATATATATATATATATATATATATATATATTATATATATATATATATATTCTATATGTACAGTGCAGTGCTCAGGAGTTGATGTGGTG